GGCACACTGGGTTATGTGTCATGGTATATAGGATGTTGCTATGCGGTAGTTATATGTAGATCTGCCTGTTTGTTTGTTGACTGGTTATATGTTTATTTGTTTGCTGGATATATGTTATATGTTATGTATATGTTGACATAGTATGGTTGGGTTGAGGAAATGTTGCTTTGTGCGGAAGCCAACAAACCTGCGAGCAAGCCAGACATAAGCTGTGGGCTCGAAAGTCAAGCCATACTTATGTTGTGGGCTCGGGAGTAAGCCAGACATGAGCTGTGGGCCAGAAGGAAAACCAGACTCATGTTGTGGACTCAGGGGTAATTTAGTCTGTTAGCTGTGGACCTAGTATGCATGTTGTTATATGTTGTGTGGTGGTACTTTAGGGGGAACTCACTAAGATTTGGATTATAGTTTCAGTTTATTGTTTCAGGTACTTCAGATGATCGTGGCAAGAAGAAGGCGTGATCGTACATATCCTTCCATGACTTGTTTTTGGAGATTTATGATACTCAAATCTTGGCATATTTGTATTTGATACTTGGTCTTGATATGAGTTTTGTTTGAAAACAATGATTTCTCTTAATTTAAAAATGAAAAATTTTATCCTGATTTTGGAATGTTACAAAACAAACGCTTTCTATAACACGCTAAGAATAGTATTAGACAAAAAGACTTTCCGATGGACGAAAGAAGCTAAGAGCGCGTTCCGCAAACTCAAAGCGGCGTTAGCCGAGTTACCTACTCTGACATCGCCTATCCCAGGTGAGGTTTTAACCATGTACTTGGCAACCTCAAGAACGACATCCAATGCAGTACTGGTGTAAAAGAGAGAAGACAGACAAGTAACCAAGTATTTTGTAAGCCGTATACTACAAGGAGCAGAGACGGGATACTCAGATATGGAGAAACTAGTGTTATTCTTAGTTAACTCCACAAGACGACTAAGATGGTATTTCTTGGAACATACCATCGAAGTTGTAACAAATATTCCATTGCATCAAGTGCTCTTGAAACAAGAGAAGTTAGGGAGACTAGCTAAATGGTCCATGGAATTGGGAGAACACAAAATCCTTTTCAAACCACAAACCAGCATAAATGCGTAGGCACTGGTAGACTTCAACACTGAAATAGAAGGCCAAAAGGAAGTGTCATCAATACATGGATCATATGAAAATATCGAAAGCACATATGCCACACAAGAAAATCAATGGAAATTGTTTTTGGATGGGTCCTCCTGTACAAAAGGATCAGGGAGTCCAACTGGAGAAGAGGTAACCTACACGTTAAGATTTGATTTTCAAGCATCAAAAAATGAATCGGAATACGAATCACTCATGGTCGGATTACAACTGGCTATCAAGATGGGGTGCGAACACATACACGCCTCTATAGACTCGATGGTAGTTGCTAACCAAACAAATGGCTTATATGAAATGAGGGGAAAAAATCTAGCACAATATGCAGACAAAGTGAAAGTGTTGACAAAGCACTTCAAAAGCTTTTGGCTAGAGCATGTGCCAAGGTCAAAAAACAAACATGCGAACGCACTAAGTAAGCTCGAATCAATAAGTTTCCCCCATTTAGCTAAGAAAGTGTTGGTATAAATACTACAAGCAAAAGAATAGAAGCAAGGCCAATAATGTTAATAAAAACCAACACAAATGAGTGGAGGAAAAAATAATTGAATACCTAACAGAGGGCAAGCTACTTCCGGACGACAAGGAGGCTAGGAAACTAAGGGTCAGTGCAGCATATTTTGTAGTGGATAAGGGAGTATTGTACAAAAAAGGGTATTTAACACCTCATTTATATTGTGTAAATGGTAAGGATGTAGAATACCTCATAAGAGAGATGCACAAAGGAGTGGTCGGAGCACATGAAGGGGTGCGGAAAATAATACATAAGATATCGAGGATAGGGTATTATTGACCAACCATGTACCAAGACACAGAAGGTATAATCTACAATTGTGAGAAGTGCCAAAAAGATGCACTAATAGTAAGAAAATCGGTGACACCAATGATTAGCATTAGTAGCCCCTGACCTTTCATTCAATGGGGAATAAACATAGTCGGACCATTCCCAGAGGCACCGGGGAATGTGAAATTCCTAGTAGTAGCAATGGACTACTTCACCAAATGGGTTGAGGTAGAAACATGAGCTACGATAATAGGCCAAAACATGGTCAAATTGTTTTGGAAACAAATCATTAGCCACTTCGGGGTACCACATACATTAATTTCGAAGAATGGAACATAGTTTGCAAATAATCCTTTCCGAGAATGGTGTGAAGAACTCAGAATCAATCAAATATTTACTTCAGTAGCACATTTAGAGGAGAACGGACAAACCGAGGTCACCAATAGGACAATTGATCACGACTTGGAAACAAGACTAAACGAAGCCAAAGGACGATGGGTTGATGAATTACAAAGCGTGTTATGGGCATACCAAACAACAACACAGACGACAACAAAGGAAACACCCTATAGTTTAGTTTATGGGTCAGAAGCAGTACTACCATTAGAGTTGATTATCCTAATAAACAAAAACAAAAAATGTAGACATGGACAATAATGATGAAAATCTAAGAGCGAACCTAGATGTTTCCATGGAAAGAAGCGAAGTAGCCGCAATATGAACGAAAAATTATAAGAAGAAAAAAAGCTATTACAACCAACGGGTCAAGGGCCGTTGTTTCAAAGTATGCGAGAAGGTGTTAACAAACAATAAGGCCAATAGATAGGAGCCACATGCAAAATTACGTCCAACATGGGAAGGTCCATACATAATACATGAATCAAATAGGGATGGATCATATATCCTACAAACAATGGAACGAGAGACAATACCAAGAACATGGCACGTCAAAAACCTTAGGAAGTTATATGTTTGAATATGCTAGGAAAAGTATACTAGCTGGAACAAGAACGAGATCAATAGAACAATTTATCATTACATCCTATATCTACCATATGGACAATAACACAAACCATGGAAGGTCTAGTCGCTTTATGAAAAAATAAACACAGGCTACCTACTTAGCCTAAGAATACACTTATTCTTCAAAACATGTAGCTCGGTCCGCCAACTACACCCATGTATACATCGAGTATCATTACTCTAACATAGGCTACTCCCTTAGCCTAAGAATATACTTATTCTTCAAAACATGTAGCTTGGTCCGCTAACTACACCCATGTATGCATCGAGTATCATTACTCCAACACAGGCTATCTACTTAGCCTAATAATAAACTTATTCTTCAAAAGATGTAGGTCGGTCTGCCGGCTACACCCATGTATACATCTGTATCATTACTCCAACACAGGCTACCCGTTTAGCTAAGAATACACTTATTATTCAAAACATGTAGATCGGTCCACCGACTACACCCATGTATACATCGAGTATCATTACTCTAAAACGGGCTACCCGCTTAGCCTAAGAATACACTTATTCTTCAAAACATGTAGCTCGGTCCACCGACTCCACCCAAGTACACAATGAGTATCATTACTCTGATACAGACAATCCGCTTAGCCTAAGAATACACTTATTCTTCAAAAACTGTAGTTCGGTCCGCCGACTACACCTATGTATACATCAAATATTATTACCTTGGCATAAACTACTCGCTTAGCCAAAGAATATACTTCTTGTTCATAAAAACTGTAGCTTTCCCAACAAGTTACATCCACAAATATGACAAATATCAATCCAACATCCATTAGGCACAAAGAATATATTTGTGGGATGAATAATCCAGTTGATTCACAAAAATGTTTATCATCCAAGTCTATCAAGAAATTAATGATTTCCATAAGAAACAACCATCATCAACAACAATCATGACATAAAGCGACATTTCGCACCAAAAGTACCAATGTCCCAAAAAGACCCACCACAAGACATGAATCGGTTAGGCACACAAACAAAACAAAAAGTTCATGCTTGCCTAAAAACAAACAAAAGAGAGAATAACCAATTCACATAACTAGCACAATCAAGGCCTAGTAATGAGATGGGCACACAGTAAGCCGTTCTCCTGAAAACAATTTTCATAATTAGCTTGGACAAGAGTTTTTTGATTTTCCAGCAATGCAACCTTGGCCATAGCAGATCGGTGATGAATCGATAGGTCGGCATAAATTTCCTCGGCCTTCACCAACATCTCTTCACTTGTAAGCTTCACACCCTCGACAACCTATAAATTCACCTCTGTAGCTAAACACCGATTTCGTAAGGTTAAAACCCCGTCAAAAAACTTGAGATCCCGCCCAAGTATAGTAGAAATATTTTGTTCAACACGGGCTATAAAACAACATGCTTCGTCCAACTATTCCTCAAACAGTACGCAGGAAGGGCACCCATCTATAGGAACCAGGAAAATGGCATTAGTGGAACAAAATACTATACTAAAGCCTAAAACATAGGTGAGAGCACATAAAATATAGGCAAAGTGTTTACATACCAGCCGGTTCAAGGGAAACATGACCTAAAGATAAAGGAGATGCATAGCAAGGGCCCACCTGGGAAATTTCATGCAAAAATTGCTCAAACCGATCGAGAGAAAGGAGACGCCTACACTTCCAATCAGGAGATACAATTTATGAGGGAACCACTCACACTCAGTTGGAGGAACCAACATGTAAATAACCAATCACAGGACAATAAATTTTAAGAATTTAATTAATAGAAAACGCATTCGACCCAAACACCGGAAGTATAATGAGAAATCGAGTATCGAAATCATCAGGTCCACATCTCGGTCCGGAACTACACCATGCAATACAATGGACTCGAGAGAAATGTCACCAGCCAAATATGATGTCAACTAAAAGGAGCACTTACACCCATCTACAACAATAAATGAGCATAGAGAAAACACTCGAAGGCAGCATTTATATCAGGACATTACCCAATACCAGGAAAAAAGAAATTATACCAAATCTAGTAAAAAGGTTAGACAACCCCGCATGACATACAGATAACACTAGCAGTTAACATCGAGCTTTCCAAAATGGGTTCATATGATACAAAGCAAGTACAACTTCCGGCTGAAATGATATTTTCACACAGAAATGAGGAAATAAAGGCACAAATGCACGTTGCTCAGCAGACAAAGATATTGATTCATCACCAAGAGGAACATAACAAGGAACAAACAGTAGACATAATCTATGCACATCCACCCAATAAAATCTACTTTTCCAGGTACCATTGGAGCAAAATAAATCTAGGGAAAGGGGAGAATGACGACTATTGAAAGAAAACCAATCACCATACTTCTTCAAGCGGTAAAAGTCGCAAAACAAGGTGACATCAAGTGATATTTCATGAGCGATACAAAAAACTTTGAAAGTAACAATCTTTGACACTACGTTAGGACATAGCTGAACAAGATGAACTTTATAGAAACAAAGAACTTCCAAAAAGAAACGAGACGACGGTAAGTGTAACCCATAAACAACATGCCTGAGATAGAACCCAATCTTACCAGTTGGGGCATCAAGAACAAACGAAGATGAATATGTAACTTTGAAACCAAGTACATGAGACAGGTGATATTCATGAGTGTATCGCTCCAGCATACAACAGTCCACTTCGGACATAACTGTAGACATGTCATCACCCATACCAGTCATAAAGATGTGAAAGTCAATAGGAACACAATGTAAAGAAGTTTCTGAAAACAAATCAGGCTTATCTGCTAAATAATGAGAGGGGCCAGTTTAAGAATTTAGTAAGGGAAATCTAATCAAAGAAAGAGAAATGACATATGACGGCGCAAGCATTTAATATGACCCATGCGACGGATGTTCTAGTACCCAAGGTGGATATTCGAGCCTGAACGGAAAAAATATTTCCACAATATTATTTTACCCTTCAGACTGGGGGCTTAATGGTCTATCAGGTCAGTAGTTCGAGGAAATCCATTACCGGCCCGGTACTTACCAGATAGATGTTACAAACACTACGACTTGTTAAGAATCAATATGAATTCGAATACATCGTACACAAGTATCAGAACCATATCCAAGGAAACATGTAAAAGAAGTTGTATGAAACAATAAAATAACAAGGAAAGGACAAGAGACGTGCCTGCTTGTAGACCGGATAATTGATGAAGGTGTTGGGTTTTAAGCACTATAACACTCATATGGTGCACATGCAACCCTAAATTCTTTGGATCTATGTTTTCTCTAATTATACATGCATTTTTAATTTTCCAAAGCATTCTCCTATCTAGTATACAAATTGTCAAATGAACAATACAACTAGTTAAATGACTTACCTCTTAGAAGGACTTGTAGTCTTGACCTTTGAAAGCTTGAGCACCTCAAGTGTGATGCCTCTAACGGTTCACAAGCACCAATATGCAAGAGGAGGCTTGAGAGAATAAGTTACTTGGCACAAAATCAACTTCACTCTCCAAGAATGTTGTGGCAACCGATTTTGTCTCTAGGGGGTTTTATTTATAGTGGGGAAAATGCTAGGGTTACACTTTGTAAACCCTAATGACCTTTCCTATTACTTAGGATCGATGGTTTAACCTCCATGGACTATCCATGGATTATTTCATTGGTTTAGCCCATCCTAAATAACCATGGATCATTAGCCCACACTATTAGAATCATTGATTTACACAATCAATCCCCATATATATTTAATTAGTCTCTTTTGATCACAAAATATATTCCAAATTAATTCTTGATCAATACTAATTAAATAATATGATTCATATTAATATATTATACTTGTATTAATAAATCATAAATGACCTTATTCTTAAAAGTCCATCCTATAAAATTGCACTGGTGAAGGCAACCCAAAAGGACCATGCTACAATCGGGTCAAGTACATTCCTGTAATAGCTATGGGCTTAGACACTAAATCCAACAGTCTCCCACTAGGATAAGTCTAATAACTATTGCTGCTAATGTGACTTCAGGATCCGACTTAGCAATCGTAAGCTTTCAAAAGCCGCTGTCGAACTCTGACATAGTCAGTGACGCGTCCTTTAGATAAGGGATCATATACTCCTCTGTTCTTAAGATATCTATCCAGAAAAATACATGGAACATAGTCATACTTATTGTCCTGTAATTTGTTTCCCGATTTCCGATTCGTCTGACATAGAACATAACTGAACACATTAATTTAGTTCTGACCGGGCCCGACACATAGTCAAAATAGAATCATCGAGGGGCCCAAGATATCGCTTTTAATCCTCTTAGGATAAAAGGAACATATAAACTTCGACATTATATGCTTGTACTAACTATTCATCAAATCGTGCACAACAACGCATTTTATAACATCAAGTTACTAATGCGTTTTCATTCCATCAATGGACAACCAACTCGTAGTCAACAATTCATATATCTTGGTTTGAAGATTATATGATATTATCGTCTCACAATTACTCATGATAAATTCCATGAAGTAATTCAGGTGAGCACGGGTTGAATCCAATACTCAAATCTTATTTCAGGAGCACTCATGAATGGTGCAACAAACTTTTGATATGTCTAACTCCTTAGACAATCTACAAGCCAACTCATGACAATCTTCTTGATGGTTTTTGAGCATTCTAACACTCCTAAGTGTACATGCAACCCTAAATACCTTGGATCTATGTTTT